CAGGTAGAAAACACCGTTGTCAAGGATGACAGCAGTTATTTTCTTTTTTCTTACGGGATTTGTGCTTTGGCATCCCCACTGCCAGTGGCACCACCAGCAGCACCTGTGTGGGTATGCTGCCCCCCCCTTTGCATTCTTCATAATGCATGTTTGGGGTGGGGGCTGTTGCATTTAGCCCCAGGAAAGAGGTAGAGCCAGTGCAGAGTGCAAATGTCTCTTCCAATTTCCCAGTTTTTTCTAAGTGTTCTGTCTATAATCATTAAAGACATTTCTTCTTCTCTGCTGCATTTTCAGGGCAATTTATAATTTATTTTAAATTTATTTGGGTAGGATACCTATTCACTGTAAAGTAGCTAAGGGTACTGTTTATCTCTTTCTGTATGTCTACATATATTTAATTTCTGTTATACATTTCTCAACTGCTATGGTGTCTCTAAGGCTGCTCACACTTTCTGCATAGGGAAATAAAATTTAATAGTGATTTCCTTTCAAACCACCTGTTTAAATTTATGGCAGATGCCCATTTCCTGTCTACTAAAATTTGACATGTACAAGGAGACGTGGGGGCCTTGATGTTGAGACACACTGACTTCTACACAGAGAGAGAATGGTTTGAAAAGGATAGAATGCATATTTCATGCCTAATTCATTGCCTGGAAAATAATGGAAATAGCTTACTATATTCACCAGTGAAGGATGCATTTTATTTCAAAGCCACTTCCTAATGGGTTGAAAAAGAGTCCAGAAATCTGCAATGAAAGCAGAACAGGTTATCTGGAGAGAACCTCTGTTTTACAACCCATTTTTTATGCTTATTTCCATACTTGGTGAATTTTGTATTACCAAGACCCTTCAAAGTCCCTCAGTCTAAAACAGACTCACTTCTGACCTCTTTGTTTATTCTGAAGAAAGTTGAAATATCCTTAGCTTCTCCTCAAGCATTGTGGCTCTCTTTCCTGTGCTTGGCAACTTGTCTAAAAATGGGACATCCACCACAATCTTTCCCTCTAAGCTTCTCTCTTTTGAACGATCAGTTGACTCTGCTACCCAATAATTACGTCCAACATGTTGGAGTTGTTCAAATTAGGCCCACAGAACCAATCTTAGCTGTCCTTCCTATTCCTATCTACACTAATGTACACTGTCTAAGCTGCTGTGACACATAAGCATAACCTTATGGTAGACTCATACACTTACTACGACAGGACCCCCATATCTGCTGGTTCAGTTACCACATTCTCACTTAACTGCGGGTAACTTCGGTCCAAAAGAGAAATCATAATCTGCTTCCTTTAAGTGAAAATTCTCAATCAGAAACATAGAAACAGAGCGAGTCAGGAGGGGTCTCCCGTGCCATCTAGTCTGACCCCCGGCTCCAGTCGGCTCCATTCATGACATGCCTACTATGTGCTTGTCCATCCTATCCTTGAACCAATGGGGCCTCAACCACCTCCCGTGGAAGCCCATTCCATACCCTCGGGGTCCTAACCATCAGGAAGTACTTCCTGGCATCCACCCTAAATCTTGGTTCCTTGAGCTTTGCAGGAGTACTATTATTAATGACATTTCTATTCAGCCTGTAGCCAAAGCTCTCTGGGCAGTTTACAACGTTAAGTCACCCATCCAGATTACATCCAGGTCTAAGCTTCCAAGATTAGACAGGATCAGGCATTTCAGGCTATTGGAAGTTATGAATTTAATAGGGAAAGAAAAATAAATCGTATGCTGAGGTTGCTAAGGGTGCATGGTAAGAATGAATCTTCTATCTTTGAAATTGTGAAAAATTGTATGTACAGTATATAGTGCTTGCTATTATCTGTAGTTTCGGGCATCCACTGGGGAGCTTGGAACCTATCCCTGAACATAAAGGGTTCCTCCTGTACTTTTACTTGCACCTGAGCTGAAAAGGCCCTGAGGGAGGAATTACTCTGTAATGTCTTCCACTGGGTTTTACCTGAAGTGTGCAAAGTTAAGGACACCAGAGAAATGAAAGACAGGACACCTGCACAGATTCCTTGGCCACATTATAAGTAACGTACATTCAAGAATCCTGAATTTATCCCCTCGGAATTTCTGCAGAATAGTTTCCCCTGAATTTCTTTTCTATAGCAGTTTTTTTCCCCTATCAAGCAGACCGAAAATGTGGAAGAAGTTTTGCAAAACTTGTGGAAGAATTTTTCAGCACCTTGCACTATAGACTAGAAACACACACCTCGCGTGCGTGCGTGCGTGCGTGCGTGCGTGAGAGAGAGAGAGAGAGAGAGAGAGAGAGAGAGAGAGAGAGAGAGAGAGAGAGAGA